ATATCTGTTTGGGCCCCACTCCCAATGTCCTTTTATACATTCCTGTCTTCTTCTGATGGGCTTTCTTAATCGCCATTATCTATCCTACAAATGCCGGGAGAACAGTCACAGGGAATTCTCGCAATGAACATTGACTGGTGATTCAGATTTATCCTGTTATCATCAGCTTCACACTTGTTTTTTACACGCTCGGCGGCTCCATGATAACAATAATAATTCTTGCATTTGGGACAGCGCCTTATCACGTCTTTGAGACGTCTCAAAGCGTTTCACAGGATACACTGTAAAGTGAATTGACTGTATATTTTGTGGGCGAAATGGGGCAGCCAATCGCGCACAGCAGCGTCCCCACAAACAGTCGTGGATTGAGTGACTCAGTCCCTTAACGGTGTTGAGCAACCCTCCTCAATCTCAAATGTTGAGGGGGGATTTAATAGCGGTGTTCAAAATTATGAGGGGTTTTGATAGAGCAGATAAGGAGGAACTGTTTCCTCTGGCGGGTAGTTTGGTGATCAGATTTAAGATAATTGTCAAAAGAACCAGAGGGGAGACGAGGAGACATTTTTTTCTCCCCAGAAAGTTGTTACGGTCTGGAACGCCCTGCCTGAAAGCGTGGTGGAAGCAGATTTGATAATAGCTTCCAGAAAGTAATTGGATATGTACTTGGAAAGGAAATTTTTTTTACAGGGCAATGGGGAAAGAGATAGAGAGTGTGGAATTAGTTGCACAGCGCTTTCAAAGAGCCTGCACAGCCAAACGGCCTCCATCTGTGCTGTAAGATTCCATCATTCTATGTATCGCATGAAACGAGCAGCCTTCTGATTGAACTGAGTCATCCAAGTTAAACTGACTCAGGCTGCATGTGTTCAACTAAGTTAATAGTTTTACTGTACACGAGGGGAATGACATCAACCTCGGCTGCATCGGTTTAGCAGTTCCCGTCAGCCGAGGAGGTTGCCTATCTTCCCTTTCCCTCAGAAAGCCTGAGTCACACATGCCGATCACGTTCCCCCACATTAAGCACTCGGCTCAGCAAGCAAGCGTTTGCCCCCGCGCTGAATGAATACAATTTCCTGCATGTGTTATTCATTAGGAACCTATTCAGGGCAAATCATCTTCTGGTATTCTGAACTAGATTCTCAGCCAATGTTTGTTAACCAGAATCGATGTGTTCCACTTGTGCAGTAATAATCATAATGATAATAATAACCCTTGCAAATAAAAAATTATAATTTGGTCACTCAATCCAACACTGTTTGTAGGACACCGCTGTGCGCAATTGGCTGCCGCGTTTCGCCCACAAAATACACAGTCAATTCACTTTAGAGTATATTCTGTTAAGCGCTTTGAGACGTCTCGAACGCGTGATAAGGCATTTTATCAAATGCAAAGATTTTTATTATTATTGTTATCATTAGGGTTATCCCACTCATGAGGTCGCAAGATGGGTTTGAATTAACGTGGCCGCTTAAAATGAATCCATTGTCTTGGCCTCAGTCAGCCACCTTTCCTGGCAACACGTTCCAGCCATTTATTACATTCCTTGGCTTACTCGATGGTTGTACAATTCCAGTAACCTTGGAGAAGATCTCAAATCCAGCTGAGAATCACCCTTCGGAGCCAAGATTGGAGTCCATTCTGTTTGCAGGGAGCTGTGACCGGAGAGTCAGCTCATTCTCTGTCAAAACAACAACAACGGAAAGAAGTTCAACGTGCTAGCAGAATGTAAGGAAGCAACTTGTCTTCAGCTTCTGAGAAACGCATCTGGAGATGTCATCAGAGGAAGAACTTCCTTTGTATCATTCTGGGGCTTTCATCATACTTTACAGTTTGTTCTGTGAAGCGCTTTGAGACGTCTCGAAGATGTGATAAGGCGACTCTATCAAATGCAAGGATTATTATTACTAAGTCCTTTATCCTACGTGAAAAGGCGTTGTACACAGACAACTTACTGTTGAGGGGAGCTCAGCAAAGTCAATGAGCGCACAAGAAATATCTCACATCCAGCCATGAGATGAACAACCGATTTATCTGGAAGGATTGATGCTGCTATGGAGCCACTTTGTTCTCTTTTCAAGCATCCCTGTGGGATCTTTAACGCCTTCCAAAAGGCCAGGCCGACGGGACCTTAGCTTCACATCGCATCCAAATGATGGCACCTCTGAGCTCTTCCCCAGGAAAAAGGAAACCCTGATATGATTCTGTATTTCCTTGTCAAGAATGAAGTGGCCTTCACGATGAGACAGGGTGGAAGATAACCCTAAAGAACTGTAACGCGGAGTAGGAAGGGGTCACGGAAACACTGATTGATTGCGTCCAGAATAAGACACAGAAAAGGGAACTTAAAATAACTCCAGCCTCAATTTATTAATCCTTGCATCTGACACAGTTCGTGACATTAAAATGTCTGTAAGTTGCTGTAAAAGCACTCCAAGTCATTGCTTCCCCCCAACCTCTGTGACCTGCAAACTCCATACTGACCTGTCCACTCCACTCCCTCTGCTCAGCGGGTTCCAGCCTGCCCTATGTCCCCCGACCAGCCGGCCCCACCATCGGCAGTCGGGCCTTCAGCCTTTCTGCCCCCACCCATTGGAACTCCATCTCACAGTCCACCTGCCTCGACCCCTCCTTTGCCTCCTTCAAGGCCCATCTCAAGATCTTCCTCTTCGACCCCGCCTTCGGTTATCCTCCTACCTCTACCCTCCCCACCCATTCTGATCCCAACCCCCAGCTCAGGTGCGAAAGCTTGACTGTCCAGCCCCTTAGGACGTCCTCAAGATGTGAGAGTCACAGTATAAATATAATTTGTTGTTGTTGCTGTATAGTGACTATATTTATGGCAAATAGCTGGCGTGGCATATAAGGCAGAAGCTGGCTGATACCCGCTGTATTGCCAGAAATGAACATGGCAACGTCTCAAAATGCATAAAAAATAGTTTTATTTAAATGTACATTTATTTACTCCGAAAAAAATACATTTCCCTCCCCCACCCCAATCCCTCAACCCCAACCCTACAATACAAAGGCCAACTAACAACACAGAGAAACAACAGACATGAGATACAACTCCGCACGGGACAAAACAGCTCATGCGATACCCAACATCAAAGACCGTGTTTATCGCCTCAACGTCAATACTGTTCCTCTTCCAATCTCCTATTCCTACGGCATACATTAATGGCTTAGTCGTTTCTTCTGAGTATCATGCCCAGGTTAGTGAGTGGGTGGGGGAGGGAGGGGGTAGAAATAGTGCACTAAAATTTAGTTGAAAAAATTTCCCCGAATATAATAAGATTCGTGGAGGATTGGTATAGCCAGGCCAGGTGCAGAGACTTAACCCAGGATCAGTTTATCCTGGAAACTGCTTCCCAGTGTTTGTGTCTAAGGATACAGTTGAGCGCCAAAGAGTGAGTGAGTGAGCGAGTGAGTGAGTGAGTGAGTCACATTTCACTCCCAGAGAGAACAGGGAGAGAACACATGGCGGTCTGAATCTACACCTGCTCCTCCCCGCCCAACCTCCAACAATAACTTGCATTTATACAGCGTCCCTCACCCAGACCAGCGTCCCAGGGCACTGCTCAAGCGACAGCAAATGACTCAGGACTTCGCTGGCCGGTATGCGTGTGTGTGAGAGACAGAGGAAGCATCAGAAAGGAACACGACTGCAACTCGCAAAAACCTCGCCAGCCATTAGACGATCAAAGCAGTTCTTGGGTTGACTTGGCAAAAGAGGTGGGTACACTGGCTTGAGCAATGTGAGGAAGGCATGTTCTCGTTCCTCGTGACCACCGGGTAAAACATTCCCATTGACGTTAGTGACTGGTGTTTATAAATGTCAGCGATTATAATGGAAGCAATGTTAAATCTGCACTGTTACTAGAACCTCACGTAAGCGATTCACAAGATCACAAGGTTAGTTGAAATGAAAAGGTCCCCTCGGATAATCTGATCTCATCGTATCGGCACCCACATCACAGTGTCAAACTTTTAAGTGAGTCCCAATGTCCTGGCCTCGACCGCCTTTCCTGGCAACCTGTTTCCCGTCGTAAACTGCCTTCTTTGCGACTTTAAACCTGCGTCCTCTTGTTCTACTGTCTCGAAGCATCCTAAAAACACGGGTCTTCGATCCCCTTTAAAACGGGAAGGTCTCCCCATTCTGAGTCGTCTTCCGCAAAGAAAGAAGTTGGCTAGACTCCAGCTTGTCTAATTGTTGTCTAATTGTTGCCGACGTGCTCGTTCCTTTATCGCCGGCGCTCGGGCTTGTCCTGGCAGTGTGTCCTGTCGCTGTCTGTGATACTTGGCTGCTACCCTTTGACTGCGTGTAGCTGTTTGTCGCTCAGACCCTCAGCAAGAGCGAGACTGAGGCCAGGATGCTGGGACTTGTTTACCCATTTAAGAATAATCTTGACGGTGCGACAGAAGTCAGCAGATAAGAATCCTTGTTCTCACCGGATCAGATCAAGATCATTGTAAAACCTCTCGAGGCAGTTATAAAATTTTCCCCAGCGAACAACTGAGATCAGGGAGGGGTGGAGGGCAGGGAGGGAGGGAGGGTGGGAGAGGAAACAGAACGAGAGATGTTCTGGGTAACTGGTTTACTTGGAACAAATAAAAAAACCTTTGCTAGTGTAAAGAGTTAAGGCTGCCAGAGAGTTGAGAGTTTCAGCCGGAAACTTGATATCAGTGACTGACTTTAATCTGTGACTTAGCAATCGAGAGACGCGGGTCACCACCGGCTCCCTCAGCGCTTTACAACAAAACAGTCACATATTCAGCAGGAAAAAAAACACATCCTTTTATGCAATGCAGTATCAAACTGGTTCCTTGCAAATCTCGGTGCTCCTAACTCTTCCTTCCAGTGGCTTCTAAACAGCTGCCTCGGGAATGGGTCAAGATTCGGTCATTTTGACCTCCACAATCTCTTTTTTTTTCCTTATATAAGAAAACAAATTCCCTATTACTGCAGCAACCCCTGCCCCCCCCCCCCCCCCCCCCCCCCACCTCCGCACGCCCACTCTCCACCTCCAGCTCCCTTTGGCCTGTAAATTCCGCTGCTGGATTTTCCGAGGGGTTTTGGAGCCTGTAAGTGCCAGCGTGCACGAGTGCCAAGTCTCTTCTGAATTCATTCCACTGAGAACTGAGCAGCGACGATGGAGCCGTGGAGCCGAGTTGGCCACATGTCTGACAACGGGAGAGCATTTGGGGAAGTTTTGGGGGATTTCCAGCCACAACAATAAACGTTGGGCAGGAAACGAGAAGGGATGCAACTTCACAGAAGCTGAATGTTTAGACCTTTCCACCTGTCAAAAAAAGTACCAAACACAGGAAATCATTAGCACAAGAGGTTCCCTGAGCGACTGACTAAATGATTTAATTCACCACTGAACTCAGTACCATAGGACCTAACGCTGTCTTCAGAAAACTACATTGAACGGAGTCACAGTCTTGTGGGACTGCTACAATCAGTGATCATTCTGTGATCTGTCCGCTCCCTCTCCTCCGCCCAACCCCGCCCTCCCCACCATCGCCGGTCAAGCCTTCAGCCTCTCTGCCCTTGGAACTCCATCCCACAGTCCCTCCGCCTCGCCCCCTTTCTTGCCTCCTTCAAGGCCAGTCTCAAGACCCTCCTCTTCGACCACACCTTTGGTCACCCTCTTACCCCTTACCCTCCTTGCTCTCCACCCCTCCCCGATCCCAACCCCCAGCTCGGGTCAAAATCCTTGACTGTGCAGCAACTTGGGACGCCCTCCCAATGTGAAAGGCGCTGCGTAAATGCAATTTGTTGTTGTTGTTGCATTTAAGCATCAAAATGGGTTTTGCCCACAAAACACACAGTCTCTCCACTTTACAGTGTATCCTGTGAAGCGCCTTGAAATGTCTCGACGATGTGATAAGGCGCTCTATCAAATGCAAGGATTATTAGTATTAGTATTATTTCATACTCACCGCCGCTCCACTTATGCCGAGAGCTCAGAGCGTATCTTCTAGAACTGGTATCGTACTGTAAGGAGAGCATTAGGAAAAGATTATTAGTTGGGGAGGACGAGTTCGCAGAGCTATGGGGAGAGAGCGGGGGAGTGGGATTGATTTGGGCAGCTCTTTTCAAAGCGCTGGCACAGACACGATGGGCCGAATGGCCTCCTTCTGTGCTGTATATGATTCTCTGGTTAACAGATGGTTTGACGAGGAAGCCAGCCATCGCTTTGAGCATCTTCTGGTGATTGTAACACCTTTCACTACCCGAAACCTGGTACAGTCTCCTCAGCTCAACTCCTTACCAATAACCTCCAAGTTGGTCACCTGATTGATATAACACTTTTTATCCCTGCTTTTTATACGGCGCCCATAACATCACAATGTCTCCAAGTAGGACATGGGTAATCATGGCTAAGCGTAGTGACTGTGTTCTTATTAGACGATTCGTAAGTTCCCTTTTTTTTTTCTCGATCAGCATTTTGGGATCTTTGACTACACGCTGGACTTTTTCCAACACTGCTATATTCTTATAATAATAACAATAATAATCCTTGCATTTGATATAGCACCTTATCACGTCTTTGAGGGGCCCAGGTTTCTTTGCTCCTCTTAAGGTTCCTAATATCTAGGGCCAGGCTTTAGGCTTGTTTATTTTTCTTCTGCCAAAGTCAAATGCCTTCGAATGTTTGAATATATTTTGCAAAGATTGTTTGCTCTTTTCCCTTCTCATCTTCCCCCTCCCCCCCCCCTCCCACACACACACAGATTCTTGTGAAAATGTCCCAAACGCACTCCTGCATTTATCTTCTGCTTTAAGACAGTCAATTCACTTTAGAGTATATTCTGTGGAGCACTTTGAGACGTCTCGAAGATGTGATAATGCTCTATAGCGAATGCAGGACTGTTATTATTGTGACACTGATAGGAATGTCATGTAACATTCAAGGAGAGAGCGAGAGAGAGAGAAGGGAAGGGCAGTACTATTTGTGGTCACGTTAACAGCCTTGACGAGGTTGAGACAGGACCTGATTAAACAACAGTAGAGTTCTCTCCATATATGGATTCCACTTTCCATTTCGATAGGAAAGCTTCACACACACAGACATCAAGCCCGATGTAAGTGAAAGCTTTGCTTTGGAGCTACTTTTTGAGCTGACGTTTGTGAGCTCAAAGTTCTGACGTGGGGGCTTGAACCCCGCAATCTTCTGACTCGCGGGTGAGAGTGAGTCCTGCGGCCTGAGCCAGGTTGACTAAGTGGTTTGGAAGGAGAGAGGCTGATTATTACCTGGTATCCCCTTCACTGAGATTGGCAATGTACTGTCGCTCCAGTCTCTGTGAAAAAACAGATAAGGAATTGAAGTGACTTAGGAGTCTGACTGATTACTCACACTGCACCTCTGGCCGCTGTTAATACACGGCATTGCCCTCACTCCCGCTTCAACGCACACCCAGCTTTTAGTCACTCTCAAAGGAACCTTCCTCGCTGTGTGCGTGTGTGTGCGTGTGTCTGTGTGTGGGGGAGCGTGTGGAGAAGGGGTGGGGGTGTGGAGGTTGGGTGGGTGGCTGTTCAATTCATCGTGTCTGTTCCAATGTGTTCTGAAATGCGGTGGGTGGGGAGGAAGGGGGTACGGCGAGACTTTGCACGAGTGGACAGTCTATAAGAGACGGAAGGGAAGGGAAAATGTGACAATATAATAATAATAATCATAATAATAATCCTTGCATTTGATATGGCGCCTTATCGCGTCTTCGAGACGTCTCAAAGGGCTTCACAGGATATGCTGCAAAGTGACTTGACTGTATATTTCGTGGGCAAAACACGGCAGACAATTGTGCACCGCAGCGTCTCACACACAGTCATGGATTGAGTGACCAAATTATTATTTTTTTAAAAAGGATTATTACCCCCGGGAAAAGCGATCCGCCAATCGACTAACAACCGGGTTCCTACTTACTGCTGGTAAACAGAGGCGCGTGTGCGCGTGTGGGGAGTAAGGAAACTTGGCTAAGGTTTCCCACCCCCACCCGCTCCCAACCCAGGAATCGAATCCGGGTCCTCTCGCTTGCGAGGCGAGCGCCCTAAACCGCTACGCCACGGGGACGCCACACAAGGGAGGAACGCTTACCCTTTTTTGCTGGTAATTATAAAAGAATAAGACGATGAAAATCAACAAAGCAACAGCTAATCCGCCAACCAAGCAGGGCCAAAACGTGGCGGGTTTACTGCGGTGGGAATCGGCTACTTCAGCTCCCGTGTGAGTCTGTGTGACTGAGATGGAGGGGATCTTCCTGGGCTCCACCCCACTCGTGATCAACGTGGTCTCTGTTGGTCTGCAGTCGTCCCCTCCGCCGTTGTCGCCACGGTTACCGCTTCCTCCTCCAGCCCTCGGGGAGCCAGCCGTGGCGCTCAGCACCTCGCTTTGTCCTGCCTCAGGAGGGCCTGAGGTGTGAAGGACGGTGATGCAGTCGCCTGAGGTTAAGGAAGAGGAGAAGCAAGTCAGGCGTTTAGGGTACGAGATTGCTTTACAGTTCTTAACGACGACAACAACAACTTGACCACTCGCGCAGGGCAGCGACTCGGAGTGGTTGGCAGTGGCGGATGGGGGGGGGGGGGGGGGGAGTTGACCGTAGGTACAGTCAAAGAGGAAGTTCTTCAGGTGCGACCTCAAGAAGGAAGGAAGGAAGGGGCAAGGCGGAGGGATGGAGGAAGAGTGTTCCAGAGTTTCGGGGCATAAGTGGGCGAAAGCGTAGCCACCGATGTGGTTTGGGACGTCCTCCCGATGTGACAGACGCTCAACAAGTGTCATTTTGTTGTTGTTGTTGTATCCAAATGTAAGGTTTATTATCATTGTACGACTGACGCCTCACCTTTAAGATTCATGAATCGTGCTGTGGCTGATGGCTGGTCTGGGTTCTCTCCTCTGGCGCCTTCTACGCACAAATTCTGGAATATTCTTCTGTAGCGATTGAGGATGCTTTGAAAATACTCAAAGAAATAGCCCACGCACTGTCTGACAATCGTCGTCTCTGGATCTGTCAAACAGGTCTGAGCGGGAGGGAGAGGGGTGGGGGAGGGGGTGGGTCGTTGTGGGGGTGGGGGGGAGGTGGTGGTAGGAGAAAGACAAGACAAGGTAAAGATTGATTCATTATTTTGACTAATATTGTTCCACCCGCACGCCAATAATTACTCACAGCAGCCTTGCCCTATAATCTGCCCTGCCCAGCAGGACAAAGAAAATTCATGTCATACGAACGAGGGCCATTCAGCCCCTCAAGCCTGTTCTGCCGTTCTATTAGATCATGGGCGATCTGTACTTCAGCTCCAATTACCCGCCTTTGCCCCGTACCCCTTGATCCCCTGACCTAACAAACATCTGTCCACTTCAGTCTTGAAGATGTGAATGGATTCAGCCATAAATCCACAGCCTTTTGGGGGAGGGAGAGAGTTCCAGATTTTCATTCCCCCTTTTGTGTGAAAAAATGCCTCCTGATTTCACTCCTAAATGCCCTGGCTCTAATTTTAAGATGATGCCCCCCTTGTTCTGGATTTCCTCCACCAGAGGAAATAGTTTCTCTGTAGCTGCCCTATCGAATCCCTTTGTTATTTTAAACACCTCAATCGGATCATCCCTCATCCTTCTAAACTCAAGGGAATAGAGACCAATTGTCCACACGGCACATACTCTCGCCTCTGAGTCAGAAAGGTTGTGGGTTCACCATCAGGTTTGCATAGAATCAAACATTGGCTGTGTGCGAGTTGGCTCGACAAATACACACAAAGTCCCATGGTTGTTTTTTTCCCCCACAGTGCCCCGATTAACAACTATAACAAGTGGCACAATGATGAGAATTGTATTTAGAAGTACAGTACTTAATTGTCTGCAGTACTAGTGTTTAACTTTATTCAGACGTCCAGAGGATCAGTGTGCGTGTGAGCGTGTGAGTGAGTGCCATCAGTTAGGTAATGATAAGGATCTTGTCGCCATGTTCGGTGTGACAGCTTACATAACACGGACGGAGGGCGAATTTCATCTCTGACAGCTTGCTTCAGCTCCTCCGCAGCCCGAAAGTTGCCACGAGCGGAGGACGTACCCTATACAAATGCGAATTGTGGTCACCAGTGAAACTCACCTCTTCCTTCTGACAATCCAAAATTCTGTTGAGTCGGTTCATCAAGATACTGGTGAGATTGGAGTTTTCGGAGTTCGGAGCAAAGCTGCTATTCAGCAAGGACATACTCTTTAGCAGCTGAGTCAATGTGAAGGACACAAAGCAGACACCATTCTGTTGGTTGGGTTGTGGTTGGAGGGGTTGAGGAACGTGGGGGAGGTGGGGAGGGATGGGGGGAAGGTGTGGAGAGAAATCAAGTAGGCTTTGTTAATGGAAAAGCTTCAACAACAACAACACATTACATTGACACAGCGCCTTTCGCGTCAAGGGGACATCTCAAGACTCTGGACAATCAGGGATCTGCACCTGAGCTGGTGTTTGGGATCAGGAGGGGTGGAGGGCGGGCAGGATGGGGGTAGGAGGGTGACCGAAGGCGCGGTCGAAGAGGAGGGTCTTAGACAGGTCTTGATGGAGGCAAAAGGCTCCACTTGTGCTTTATCTCTAAACCCCTCCCCGTTTGCCCACCACACACTCCTGACGCTGACCTTCACACAAACCGACACAACACTGAACTCCCGCACTCCCCCCCTCCCAGCCATCCTATAATAGACATCAACCCCCACACCCACCCCTCACGCCCACCCTCCCTGCAAAGGAGCACTCACCAGCGCAGACCTGTCCATATCCACCAACTTTTCGTATTCCAACATACTCGGGAGCAGATTCCCAGCCTGTGAAAGGGAGTCACCGTAAGGCAATGCAAACAATGACTCTGACCTGCATATTAACCTATAATAATAATCCTTGCATTTGATACAGCGCCTTATCACGTCTTCGAGACGTCTCAAAGCGCTTCACAGGATATACTGTAAAGTGGATTGACGTGTAAATTTAATGGGCGAAACTCGGCAGCCAATTGCGCACAGTAGCGTCCGATAAACAATCGCGGATTGAGTGACCAAATTATTATTAATGTTTTTTTTAAGAAGGGATTATTACCCCCGGAAAAGTGATCCACCAATCGACTAACAACCGGGTTCCTACTTACTGCTGGGTAAACAAGAGGCGAGTGTCTGCAGGGTAAGGAAACTTGCCCAAGGTATCGCCCCACTCGGGATTCGAACCTGGGTCCTCTCGTTTGCCAGGCGAGCGCTCTAAACCTCTACGCTGCGGGGTCTCCACTTGGCGTGTCATATCACCCGAGCGGTGCGGATAGCAGGCCTACGAACGAGCGGTGGTGAGAGCGTGTCAAGTATGTCAGTGAGGGATCAGATAGCGTGACAGCGTGGGGGCGGGGAAGCACCGCGGATCCCATTTCTCTCACCAGTTTGTTAATCTGCGTCTCCATATCATTCGTCACTTCCTCGCAGCTCATTTGAATGTCCTTGCATCGCCTCTCCTGTTCCGTCTCCGATGCGGCAACGGGCAGGAGAATCAGGAGGACCAGGCAGTATCGTGCCTGCAACAGAAGCTAAAGAGAGTTTCGGTCACTCAGTTAGGTGGTAGCAGATTTTGTGTGTGCGTGTGTGCGTGCGTGTGCGTGCGTGTGTGCGTGTGTATCTGCTTGCTTGTCCTAAGCATGTGTTCTAATTTCAGCAACACATTGACTGTAACGTCCTTCAATGAGCTTTGAGATGTCTCGACAACAGTTACAAAAACAAATAACATCGTACAGAGGCCTTTCACGTCAGGAGGATGGCCCGAGTCTCTGGAACGTGATAAGGCGCTGTTATCAAATGTAAGGATTTTTATTATCATTAAAAAAAAACTGACAGTGTCTTGTCTTATTTCATCAAAATGAAAAAGGACCATTCACCCATTCTGGATCTGGTTCTTAATAATAATAATCCTTGCACATGATATAGTGCTTTTCACGTCTTTGAGACGTCTCAAAGCGGTACACAGAATAGACTGTAAAGTGAATTGACTGTATATTTGTACATGAAACGCGGCAATCCGCAATTCGACTAACAACCGGGTTCCTACGTACTGTTTGGCCAACAGAGACGTGTGTGTGGAGTAAGGAAACTTGCCTAAGGTTTCGCCCCGCCCGGCAATCGAACCCGGGTCCTCTCGCTTGCGAGGCGAGGGCTCTAACCACTCTGAGTGAGAGAGTAAGGCTTCGAGGCGATGACAGATCAGGCCACCCGAGCAGTTATTACAATCGAACACTATCTCGAGCGTTCAGTTAGTTTCAGAATGAAAAGGATTCCAACATTTGACGTAATCCAGTTACACTTTGTCGAATTCTGTCACTCTTGGAGAATTTGAGGGGGTTTTTCTCCGTCCCCGGGAACAAAAAAAATTCTGTTTGTGTTCTGTCATGTTCACTTGACAATTTGCCCAAGATTTAAGTGCAAACCAGCTGCAAAGTAAACTAAGCAATGAGCTGAGAGCAGCACAGGCCAGGAATAATATAATGATGAATGATTATCTTGGCGGTACACTATAACATTATTCATAAAGATAATCCTTGCATTTGAGGCAGCGCCTTACCATGTCGTTGCGACGTCTCAAAGCGGTTCACGGGATATACTGTAAAGTGGATCGAGCGTGTATTTTGTGGGCGAAACGCGGCGGCCAATTGCGCGCAGCAGTGTCCACACAAACAGTCGTGGATTGTGTGTGTGTGTGTATGTGTGTGTGTGTGTGGGGAGGGGGGGTGGGGGGGTGGGGGCTGGGGTGGGTGGGGAGGAGATTATTACCCACAGAAAGCGATTCGTCAATTGACTAACAACTGGGTTCCTACTTGTGGAGTCCTGTAGCTCAGTGGTTAGAGCACTCGCTTTGCAAGTGAGAGACCTGAGTCCAATTCCAGGCAGAGGGTGAAACCTTGGGCAAGTTTCCTTACTCCACACAGAGCCTAATAATAATCCTCCAAAACCAAAAACAATAATAAATTGGTCATTTTCAATCTACGACTGTTTGTGGGACATCGCTGTGCGCAATTGGCTGCTGCGTTCGCCCACAAATATACAGTCAATTCACTTTACAGTGCGATCTGTGAAGCGCCTCGGGACGCCCTCCCGACGCGAAAAGCACTATATCAAATGCAAGGATTATTATTATTATTACCGTTAGGTAAACAGAGACGTGTGGAGTAAAGAAACTTACCCAACTCCACAGTCCACTGTTTTAATCAAGTTGTTGCGGTACACATTCCTAGCTCACTCTCCGCTAGGCTTCCAGTAACAGCAAAGGAAAATTTTGATTTGGCCTTTTAAGACTGGGATTGTTACCAGTTCCCACCACTGGAGCAGTCTGCAATAATCCCAGTTGCTTACTCTGTCTGTTCACTCGCTAAGATTCTTTCTCTCCAGCCCTTCAGACAATTCTCTTCCAGCTGCTATGTTGCCTCAGCCTCGACTACCCGAGTTGCCAACCGATCCCGTTGCGTTAGATAGTTAAATATATAAATAAACAGTTTGTTAAATAAATAAATAGCTAAATAGTTGGATGGTAGCTCAGTGGATAGAGCACTCTCCTCGCAAGCGAGACGATCCGGGTTCGATTCCCGGGTGGTTCGGGGGGAAAACCTTAGGCAAGTTTCCTTACCCCACACACACGCCTCTGTTTACCCGGCAGTGAGTAGGAACCCGGTCACTAGTCGATTGGTGGACGGCTTTGCGGGCGTAATAATCCCTCCAAAAAATAAAAATGAATAATATAAATAATAATCCTTGCATTTGATATAGTGCCTTATCGTGTCTTCGAGACGTCTCAAAGCGCTTCACCGCATATACTGTAAAGTGAATTGACTGCATATTTATGGGCGAAATGCGGCAGCCAATTGCGCACGGCAGCGTCCCACCAACAGCCGTAGATTGAGTGACCAAATTATTATTTTATTTATTTTCTTGAGGGATTATCATTAGGCGTGTGGAGTAAGGAAACTTACCCAAGGTTTCGCCCTGCCGGGAATCAAACCTGTGTAAAGTGTAGTGACTGTGTTCTTTTTTTGTAGACGAGGGACTCGCACAGTTTCGCTATTTATGGAGAGTATTAAGCGCAAGTCGGAGGTGGAGGAGTCTAACCAGCTGATCGTCTCGTCAAACATTAGACAAAACAGCCGTACAAGTTCAGAACAAGGTACCAGCAGCTGAAGTGCTGCAATGACTGAAGAAAAAATCCCTTCACCAAAAGGTGGTTAAGAAGTTTCAAAACGTTAAAACTGTTACTCAAATTCGTACTGTTGAGGATTCGTGCAGTCAAAGACACATCTGTGTATCCGCCCGCATCCATCTGTCTGCATGTCTCTCCTTGTGCAACTCTTTCCGACCAAGAATTGTGCAAATACTCTCCAACTGAGAGCAGATTTTTTTGGATCAGTTGAGTGTCTGACACATGCGGAAACCCAACCACTGCGCTCGAGACCGTCCAAACCAAACTGAGAATTCCATGTATCCCACCGGCTTTGCTATGCCCAAATTGGCTACTGCATTCGCCCACAAAACTACACTCAAAAGTCACCACAATCACAATGGACATCTAGTGAGGCCCTTTGAAACATTTTGATGATGGCATAAAGCCTTATTATCAAATGCCGAGATCAGAATTAATTCCCTGTGATACGGTAAATCATTTACTCTTCCAATTTATTTTTGATACTTCAGCACTGCCAGAGTCCAGCCCACAAGATAATTATGCCTTGACAGGAAATGTACTTAATGTCACCTTAGGGCAAAGGAAGTTCCATTTTATGATAGCGCTGAACAAGAAAGGGAAAAACTATTTCAAACAGAACTGGACACGGACCTGGAAACTAAAAGGATACTTTTTTTTTAAGAGATAATAATAACAATAACTTCATTTGATGTAGCGCCTTATCACATCGCTGAGATGCCTCAAAGCCCTATTAGTTTTGCTCTTAGTTCAGATGTGACTGTGAGTGTAGTTTTGTGGGTGAATGCAGGAGCCAATTTGGACATAGCAAAGTTCCACAAACAGCCATGAAGTGAGTGACCAATTTTATCTGGGATCTGTTGAAGCTTTTTTTTTTAAAAAGATGAAGTTACGATTGATGTGTTTATTTCTTGAGAAGTAAAGCGAATCGGTATTTAAGTCTCTGAGACTTACTATGAATTCAAGTTTGAATTTGTTTCTTTCTGTTGAGCGGGAACTCATCAGCAGACTGAGAATCTCACATAGGAACATAAGAATTTGCTGGATGAAAGAAGCCCAAGGTCCATCCAGGTCATCTTCCACCATCCTGGCAGTCACTTGCACATGTCGTGTCCCGAACTATATACTGTATCCCAAGACATTACTTCCTAAAGTAAATCTATCTAATTTGCTCTTGAAAGAATCAACACTTTCTGCTTCCACGCTCTCCCTAGGGAGCCTGTTCCCACTCGTATCCGCCATTCGCTGGTCAAGGGTGCCATCTTGGAGCCCAGCCCAGCCCGGAGGAGACCCCCGCTTAACACTCCCTGTCCAATGGTCACTTGAGCTCAGAGCGTCCCAAACAATAAATCAGTCCCCTAAATTTAACACAGACGGAACCCCCACTAAACAGGAAATTTAATATACTTCTGCTCCACGGTCCTGCTCGGCAAGTCACCTCATGAAACAGCAGCAGCTCAATACACGTGGTATAATTCGCTCCTCCTCAGGTTTTAACTGGCACTCAACAAATCTATCAAAACAATTATTTATTGTTCAGGCTGGTGATGGGTGGCTGGCTGGGTTGGGGAGGAGGGAAGTGGGAATACCAATAGTAGGCGACTAATTACTAATGCTTTTTTATTGCTACTCGCTGTTGACTTTTGCCAGGTTTAGCTGCATCTGTGGTGGTATTCGACTCTTTCAACACGTGTTTAAACCCTGCCTTTGCCGAGAAAACCACTTCTCCACCCAGCCTGACAACCCCAGTCTTTCGTTACACTTCCTTTCGCGCTCTCGTGTGACCACCTCTCCCGCTCAACTGCAGCCGTAATACGTCATAATAATAATAATAATAATCCTTGCATTTGACACGACGCCTTATCACGCCCTTGAGACGTCTCAAAGCGCTTCACAGAGCGTGCTGTAAAGTGGATCGACTGTGTACTTTGTGGGCAGCCAACTGCGCACAGCAGTGCCCCACAAACAATCGTGGTTTGAGTGACTAAAATTGTCTTGTTTTTTTTTGGAGGGATTATTACCCCCGGAAAGCGATCCGCCAATCGGCTAACAACCGGGTTCCTAGTCACCGCTAGGTAAACGGAGGTGCAGCTAAACCTGGCCTAACTAAAGATTTTACCCTGGCCGGGGTCCTCTGGCTTGCGAGGCGAGTGCTCTAACCACTCCACCATAACGTGTAATCCTCACAGAGAATGGAGGCTACGACATGAACAAACGTGGTTGAAATTTCATCGACTCTCCACACTTTTTATTCCGCTCGTCTGTCCCTCACGCTCTGCGTATTGGAATGAAACGGTGCCGAATCCTAACCAGTCTTAAAGCCGGTGAGACCTGTATTTGCTTTCAACAGGAATTTGCAGAGAATTCTTAAACGCGGTCTTAAAGCAGGAAAGTGGTTCTCAGTAGCGCTTTGCAGCCGATGCTGTGCACGGACTGCGGTTAAAAAAAAATCAAATCATCAAAGCTCTCGCAACTCACAAGTCAGCCTCACTGTGATGGAGTCAGACAGTGGTGAGGGTCACACCAGACAGACGGCTTTAGATGTGGGAGTTTTCAATAAAGCCCAGGTTAACATATCACCAGGCTACAGCTTTTCTCTTCCGCATGAGGCAAAAAAATAAATAGTCACTCAATCCACGACTGTTTGTGGGGACGCTGCTGTGCGCAATTGGCTCCCGGGTTTCACCCACAAAATACACAATTCACTCCACTTTACAGTATATCCTATGAAGCGCTTTGAGCTGTCTCGACGACATGACGAGGCGCTGTATCAAAAGCAAGGATTACTATTACGACTATTATTATTATTGTTCCTCTCTCACACACTGTTTCTGCGTCTCTCTCACACCCTTAGTCTGCTGTGCTCTCCGCGCGAATCTTGAGCTTAAAGCTCCCTCCGTGAAGCGCCTTGAACCGTCTCAACGAAGTGACAAGACGCGACATCCAAACCCAAGGATTATTACAATTCCTCTTATTACAAGAGCAAACGATCGCCCACAAAATGTAAAAGTCATTTCGCCCGCAATTTACACAGTCAATTCACTCTACAGTGTATCCTGTGAAGCGCTTGGAGACGTCTCGAAGCCGTGACAAGGGGCTGTATCAAACGCAAGGATTATTATTTATTATTATAAGGAACATCATCTCTACAAAAGACGCACTGCACAGTACCGGCACATGGTCAATCTCGAATTGCTGAGCTCCATCCTCCCCCCACCCCGATACCTTCCCTCCTTCTGCACCGTTTCACTCCCTGATCTTCTCTTTTCCTCTTCTCGAGCCTTGCCTCAGGCCACCCAGTCTCCACAGTGACCGCAGAGCTTACCTGACTTCGACAGCTATCAGTCCAAACCCATCTCCCCCTTGATCATTGTCTCACCATTTCTCTTCGCTTCCCCTTTTTTTCTTTTCCTCTTCGCTCTCCGCGTCGCCCGAAGACTTGCCAACAGCTCGTTCGTCCCCCACACACAGGAGCCCCACGCCACGTTATGTCAGGATCAGGCAATGATTGGGTCGAGATGGGGACCTCTCTCTCGCTACCCAGCCTTCGAGCTTGGACCACCCTATCATTTCTATCCAAGCATCTCAACAGCAGCAGCAGCAGCAAATTACATTCATACAACCTCTTTCCTTTCGCATGGGGAGGATGTCTCAAGGCACAGCGAGAAGCATCTCACTTAGAGAATAAGGCAGGGGAAGGAGGCAGGGCGAGAGCGAGAGCGAGAGCAAGAGAGACCAAGCTAAGGATTAGAAACCCATGCTTAACAGCCAGAGACAGAGAGAGAGAGAGAGAGAGGGGGGGAGGAGGAGAGATCTTGCTTGCTCTCTCTTCCCTAAGTATCTCACCCTGAGGTCTGGCAAAGGTTGGATTTAGCAGTGGGAGGTGTACAGCCCAACATGGACCACCACCACCACCCCCCCTCAAAAGAAAACCAAGCAGTTTTGCAGGGATTAGTGGCGTTGGACGAGTGAGAGGGAGAGGGAGGGAGGGAGGGAGGGAGGGAGAGAGCTGAGACAGGAAAGTGAAAGTAAGCAAAGGGAGGGGAAGGCAGAGAGCGATGGAGAATTTAACATGCGTAGAGTGGGGGGAGAGAAAAGCAGCTGAAAACACACTGAGCTCACACTGCCACTGCTTGCATTTGCTTAAGAGACTTTATATTAAAAGATTCCCAATCTCTTTCTCTCTCTCTCTCTCTCTCTAACACCAACACTAACACATAGGATGGATGGGGGGGTGGGGGTGAGGGTGAAATTGACAAGTTTCATTTCACAGCTGATCAGCTTCACTGCACTGCACTGCACTCACAGACCCCAATAATTAATTGCGAGTCATTGTATTTTTTCAGGGCTGTATATATATATATATGTACATAATAAAAAAAAGTTTCAGCCAAAGTTTAGTGCAAAAAAAAAGAGAGAGAGGCTGGTTCTTTTAACTGACCTGCTTTGAGCTTGACTTTGACTTTTTTTCCCCCTTTTTATTCTTATTCTTGTTCTTATTTGCTGGGAGTAAATTCAAGTCAAAAGTAAAACCAAAGCTGGGCACAAGGAACAGAGACACTCACCTTAAGGCAGATGATTCCTGAATTCTTCATGTGGAGAAGGAGGAGGGGGGGGAAGAAAAAATGATCCTTGGACAGCAAGTTAGGGGGAAGTGAGCCCACAATTGGTTTCACATCACGTTTATTGCTATTGTGGTGAGAAAAGAGGGAGAGTTGCAGAGCAGAGGGCAAAGTTGTTTGCCTTTCCGGATCATTCAGCTATCTCGAATTTGTGTCTCTGCTCTGCACACTCACTGCTCAGGATTTTTTTTATTGGTATGTCATCTAGTAATTCAGCCAACCCTGCCAACCTCCCTCTCTACCACCCCCACCCCACACAATTTTTTTTTGCAGGAAACAACCACAAATAGCACATGTGATTTCTCAGAAAAGCTGAGCTCCTGTGATGCATCTTTTTAATGGTGATGAAAGGCAGATATATATCTGTGGAGATATATATAAGTGTATGAAGAGAGAGAGAGAGCGAGAGCGAGAGAGAATGAGAGAGTGTGTGTATATAACCCTATCACTGTTCTAAACTTTAGTTCATTTTTTTCAAGGAATTCAATTTTCCTTTTTGGGGGGGAAGGGAATGGGATTTTACGTTGTCAAACTGGAGAGCTTTTAAGGTACTTTACCCCAACCCCTCCCCCAACTCCGCCCCAGTACACTATTATCGCTCCTTAGACTATGAGTCCAAAGACCGAAAATATATGAATTCCTAATTCATGCCCTCCTCCACTCCCTCTTCCTCCAAAGTCGTATTGTTTCCTTCCGCTGAACGGTTTACTGGCGGCAAAAGCGTTCGAATTTCAGGAAATTCTGATTCCTGGTTCGATGACCAGAGGGCAGGTTATTGGTAAAGGTTATTTTTCACTTCATTAATGTTAATCGCAGCTGCAGCCTGTCACAAGTCCGGTTAATTTAACATTATTTGCCCTTTGGGCATTGCCACGTTTTTAATCAATGTGCGTGTGTCAGCCTGGCGCAGGGCATAGCGCTCTTGCCTCGGAGTCAGCAGGTTGTGGGTTCAAACCCCCGTGTCGGGACTTGGAATCACATAGTCTAAGCTGACGCTCCAATGTAGTGCTGGTGCGGGGAGTGGGGGGGGGGGGGAGAGGTTGTGTTCCATTGTCGCAGACACCGTCCTTCGGATGAGACATTAAACCGAGGTCCCGTCAGCCTGTACGGGTGGACGTTAATAATAATATTAATAATAATAATAACAACCGAGTTTCTTGTTAGGTAAACTGAGGCGTATAGAGTAAGGACACTTGTCTAAGATCTCACCTGCCCAGGAATCAAACCCGGGTCTTCTCGCTTGCAAAGCAAGGTTTTTGTAGTCAGGGTGGAGAGCCATCTGGCTTTCTCCACCAACATTACTAATGAGAGGACAGGACAGGTTTGTGGGAAGTTAGAGATGTTCTTTGAAACTGCCAGGATGGGACACGACATGTCCAGCGACTGCCAGGATGGTGGAAGGCGAACTAGATGGACCTTGCCAAGCCAATTCTTTCGTTCTCATGCTCTTAAACAGATGAATTCTGAGATGAGCAGTAAACCTCGGAGTCCTTTTCAATGCCCAAGGCGAGGCTTAGGTTCCTGTCACATGGAAACAATTGAGAAATCTTGTGTTTTCGGAACCCACGGCTGGGAAACAGAGTACCCTTTGGGACAAGGTATTGGTGCCTTTGGCAGAAGACTGGCAAAGTTTAAACAGTAGATCATTGGCAAATGCTGTGGAATAACTATACTCATTTGAAAGCCTGTTTTTCTATTGATTTATTCCCTGTCTGTTGACTCATTCACTTCCTTTTGGGTCCTAATAAAATGTTCCAAGATGCTATTCAATAGAATAGAGGCTACATAACACTATATGGGTTGTCGTTGTTCTCTGGTTGCCAATTTCATGACAGTTAGCCTTTACTCTGAGAAGTGTATTATATTATCCTTTCCTACTGAAGCTCTACAGTGCTTCCTGCAGTCACACCACATACTGTTCTGGCCTCTGTGACATAGAGCAGGTCAGGCCCTCAAAAGGCAGAGGAGATCAACAACAAAAAGTCCTTGCATTTAATATAGCACCTTATCACGTTGTTGAGATGTCTCAAAGTGCTTCACAGAATGTATTGTAAAGTGCATTGACTGTATATTTTCTTGGCAAAACGCAGCAGTCAATGGCGCACAGCAGTGTCCTGCAAACAGTCATAGAGCGAGTTACCATTTTGGTGGGGGGAGGGATTATTACCCCTTGAAAGCGATCTGCCAATCGACTAACAACTGGGTTCCTACTTACTGATGTTGCTCTGGTCTCCTTCCGTCCCTGATGATTTTTATTTACTTTGCATTTCATTTTGTTTTGGTAACATAATTTGAGACGCTTTAAACAGAGGCTTGCGGAATAAAGAACCCCCAACCTGGCAATCTCACAACAACTTACGTTTTCTATAGCGCCCTTGCATGTGCTCCGAAACTCTTAGAGTGAGCAATCCACTCAGAACAAGTATATAAGCTAGAGATGTTCAGCGAATTCTGTGAGGGGGAACCTATGCAGGCGTACAGGATTTTAGATGGAGATTGAGGAGACAAAACCAAGAGTGATGCCAGTGGCAATTGCAGGATAGCCACAAGGAAGAATTTTATTTGGCACAAAGTACGGGTAATTAGCTCCCCAGTCAGGCCTAACAATTGTTGTTTATGGCTTGGATCCATGGGATCTGATAGATAAATAAATATCTCTGAAATCTGTAAAGTCACGAGGGCTCCGAAGTCCTTTTCCTCCCTGTTGATTCTTATTTTCTTTGCTTCTCATTTTGTTTTGCGAAGTAATGCGAGACGTTTTATACCATGGTTGTTATTGCATTCTTGAAGGCTTCCCCATTGTGTTTTGTTGATTTCACAATGGTTCAATTTTGGGAAAAGTCATTTTGATAAAGATCCTGTGTCCTCGGCACATTTGGGAATGATTTGGGAACTGCTATCGGCAGCTGGAGAAATAGTGTTAACTTTGCATTTATGGCACATAATTCAGAGCCCTGTAGCTCAGTGGTTAGAGCACTCACCTCGCAAGCGAGAGGACCTGAGTTTGATTCCCGGACAGGGTGAAACGTTAAGCAAGTTTCCTTACTCCACACACACTCCTCTGTTTACCTAGCAGTAAAGTAGGAACCCGGTTCTTAGCCAATTGCCAGATCGCTTTCTGGGGGTAATAAGCCTTTCCTTCAAAACAAATGATAATTTAGTCACTCAATCCACGACTGTTTGTGGGACACTTCAGTGCGCAATTGGCTGCCGCGTTTCATCCACGAAATATACAGGCAATTCAGTTTACGGTAATATTGTGTGAAGCGCTTTGAGACATCTCAAAGAAGCACTGCATTATCGCACGTGTCGTCCTTCAGTGGAGACGTTAAATTGAGGTCCTATCTGGCCATTCAGCCGGACGTTTAAAGATCCCGTGGCGTTGTTGGAAAAGAGAAGGGAGTTACTCCCAGTGTTCTGGCCAACAACACCCCAGATAAAATTCCTAAGGGCTATCTTTAGTTCTGTGAAAATTATTTTATTACGGACTTGGAAACACACAATCTTATCAGGTTTCCTTTTCCAAGCCACTTTGGGACCAAACTGGCATAAACACGATCCCCGCCCACAGTTAATTTTCTCTCAGTCCAAAGCTCAGAGATGCCATGCTCTGGACAGGACGTTAAACTAAGGACCTTAAAGATCCCGTGAGTGTGGGTTTTCCCCGAGAGTGCTCAAAGAGAGAACCAAGTAGCTCCCGATGGCCTGGCCACCAATCCTTCCAGATGCATTATCATTTAGTTCGAGGCGGTTTTGTATTGTTTTGGTTGAGCGCAAAAAGATTGTTGGCCAGGATATCGAGAGAGAGAGAGAGAGAGAGAGAGAGAGAGAGAAACGGGATCTTTAACGTCCAGCTTACCAAGCAAGGTTGGACATCTCTTGAATTTGAATAATTTACACAGACCCTTAATAACCCTTAAGAATGTCATTGTATCTGGGGGGGGTGGGAGTGGTGGGTGGGCAGGGGATTGTTAGCCAGGACAATGGGAGAAAATCCTTCTCTTTTCCAACAACGTCATAGAATCGTTAAATATTCCCCTGAACGGGCAGATAGATTGCCACTGATGGACCTCGAACAATCTCCAACGATACCTTGCTTCCCCCCAGCGCTGCAACAACGACAATAATTTGCATTCAGGCAGGGCAGCGTCTCGGAGCGCTTTATTGTGTCATTAGGGACGAGCATCGGGATTCTAACCCATTAGGGGATCAGGAATATCTGGCATTATCTCAGCCCGACCGGACAGGTTGACTCCTCTTGTTATTGGAACGGAGAAAAAAAAAACCTGAAGTTGTGAGACCTGAAATTT